TGTTGTTAAGTGCCATTGAGTTATTTCTGACTCATATTGACTCTGGGTAGGGTTTCCCAAGGAGCAGTGGATTTGAACCACCAACTTTGTGATTAGCAGTCCAGTGCATCCTAAAGCACCATCCCTAGTAATTAATGTTATTGTTGTTGTTAAGTGCCCTCAAGTCAGTTCCAACACATAGTGACCCTTTATAGCGTTTCTGAGGAGCGGCTGGTGAGCTTGAACCGCTGACCTTGCAGTTCAAACAGCTTTGCAGTCTGGTGCATTAACCCACAGCGCCACACCAGGACTCTTATTAATTGTTGTTGTTGTTGTTAAGTGCCATCGAGTCGGTTCCGTCCCATAGTGACCCTGTATAGGGTTTCCAAGAAGACGCCGGTGAGCTTGAACCTTGCAGTTCAAACGGCTTTGCAGTTTGGCGCATTAATCCACAGCACCACACCAGGACTCGTATTAATTAGTAATGAGTGTAAGGAGCTCTAGTAGCAGTGGTTATGAATCAGGCTGCTAACCTGAAGGCTGGCCGTTCAAAATTACCAGCTGTTCTGCAGAAAAAGAAGAGACATTCTGTTCCTGTAAAGACTTACAGCCTCGGAAACCCTGTACTGGGTCGCTATGAGTCAAAACCCACTCCAAGGTACTTAACAACAACAACAACAAAACTGAGTGTTAATTTTGTTTTTATACTGAGTGTTAATTTTGTGCAAGGCATTGTTTCAAACTCCTCAAATGCACTAAGTCATTTAATATTTATGTCAACTTATGAAGCAAACTAATATGTATACTGTACAGATAGTTAGGAGTTCTGATGTGGCATTGCAGGATAATGCACTGGACTACAAGGTCACCACTTCAACTCACCAGCCACTCCTCAGAAACCCTACACAGGGTCGCCATGAGGTGAAGCTGACTTGAGGGCACTTAAAAACAGCTATAGTTAACCTAAGAAAGAGAGGTTAGTTAATTGGATCAAATTATATATATACATATATATATATATGTATATATATAATTTGATCCAATTATATATATATATATAGTTACGAATCGGGCTGCGAACCTTAAGGTCAGCGGTTCGAAACTACCAGCCGCTCCGCGGGAGAAAGATGAGGCTTTCTACTCCCGTAAAGATTTACACCCTCGGAAACCCTGTACAGGGTCGCTATGGGTCGGACCCGACTCCACGGCACATAACAACAACAACAACATATATATATCCAGCAAGTAGCTGAGCTGGGATTGAAAGCAGGTAGTCTGACTTTAAAGCCCAAACTTTTATCTCATGTTATACTTACTGCTTACATTGTAAAAGTCCTGTCTAATGGTAATGATAGCTTAGAGTATGAAAGAGGTTTGTCTTGGCAAGGAATTACCCTTCTCAGATCTAGAACAACTCTAAATACCATTGACAGCCATATTCCACTGATTAAAAGGAAGTCAGCATTATTCGCAGCTGCATCTATTCCCATTCTGTATGATCACCTTCTAATACAACTTTGTTGTTGTTGTTAAGTGCCGTCGAGTAGGTTCTGACTCATAGAGACCCTGTATAGAGTTTCCAAAGAGCAGCTTGTGAGTTTGAACTGACTATCTTGTGGTTCAAACCAACCTTGCGGTCCAGTGCTTTATCCTACAGCACCACACTAGGACCCTAATACAATTTAGGGTGAGTCTAACAGAGTCCTGCAGTCCTGGTGTGGCACTATAGAATGAGAATTGGATCACAAGGTCAGCAGTTCAAACCTAGCAGCCACTCCTTGGAAACCCTGTACAGTGTCACTATACATTGGTACTTACTTGAAAGCACTTAACAACAACACAATGGAGTCCTGGAGCTCTGGTATGACACTGTAGGCTAAGTACTGGATAAGGTTGGCTTGAACTGTGTGGTCAGAGGTTCAAACTCACCAGCTGTTCCTCAGAAACCCTATATAAGGTCATTACGAGTTGGAACTGGACAGCACTTAACAACAGTGGAGTCCTGATGTGGTGCTACAGGATAAGCAATAGACTGCTAACTACAAGTTTAGTGGTTCAAGTCTACCAGCTGCTCCTTGGAAACTCTATACAGGATCACTATGAGTTGGAACAGACTCCAGAGCACATAACAACAACAATAAAATATCCCCCACATCATTAGGAATTTCATTAGGAACTTGATTGAATTTCCAGAGGGAATGGTATATTTATGTATGTGTTTGTAGGGGGTTCTTCCCACAAGTCTGAAATGCTGTCTTCTCTAATGCTTTCCATCACAGAAAGGATTAAAGGGAGGAAAAAAAAAGTTGAGCAGGACTCCAAAGCTGCAATCTGCTTAATATTGAACTAGGCTGAGATGCTACTTGGAGGAAAAATAATATATTCAGTTTTTCACATAAGACACAATGAAATGAGGATGCCATATAGATATAGAAATACTGTAACATAGAGAATGAAATGTTAAATAAAAACTCACAAACAAAATATCAATTCATATACTTATAAAGGGTAACAAAACATAAGAATAATGCATTCTGAATAAAAAGAGTATAAACAGATAACGTATAGTGGCCTTGGAAGACATTAGATAGTAAGACAAGGCATGAAAACCAATATATAAGACAAAGAACAGTTGAATACTGATGAAACCAGAATACATTTGAATAAAACTAATGTTAGAAATTCTTAGAGAAAGAGGCATAACATCTGAAATGTAAATAAAATTTAATCAAGTTTAATTTTTAAAAATGTGGTTAGGCAAAATTTACAATTACGATAATCTTATGACCCAAATCCTCTTCAAAATAGTGAAATATTATATGGTGCAAAATAGCATAAAGAAGAACCTTGGCTCTTACCTTTACAAATTAGATGCAAAGTAAAATTCAGACTGTTATACATTAGACAAAAATTTATGGAGCACCTACTCTGTTTTGAGACACAACCCCTCCTTCATAGGGCCTATAGTCTTGTAGGGGGACAATCTTTATACACCACATGGAAAAGTACATCAGTGCCAAAAGTTATGAAGAAGGGAATGGAGGAGCTATGACACTCAATAAAATGAGTGTTGTGTTACGTGCTGTTGAGGTAGCTGGTGGGTTTGAACTGCTGACCTTGAGGTTAACATGACACTTAACAACAACAAAAAGTTTTTGTTAAGAGGAGGTGATAATTGAGTATAGATTCTGATAGTTGTTGTTATTAAGTGTTATCTAGTCGTTTCCAACTTATAGCGATTGTGTATAGGGTTTCTGAGGAGCAGCTGGTGAATTTGAACCACTGATCTTGCAATCCAGTGCACTATCCTGCAGTGCCACACCAGGATTCTGATAGAGAAGATGTTAAACAGAAAAAAAGAAAAAAAGAAAATTTAAGGTAAAGGAGAGAGGATATACAAAGTCTCTGCTGGAAATTAAGGGGTTAAAAGAAGATGAGTAGCGTCCAGCTGATAAGAAGAGAGGGCATATGCATAAGAACACCCACACTTGCAGATAATACCCACTTATCCTGGCTTCAGTGACTGGATGATCAGAGCTCAACCAGAAATAAAAAGAAGAGGAAAAAAAAAAGTATTCTCATACAATTTGATGAACCTGACCTACACCTATGGAAGCAGTAGCTCAAAAGAGGGAACAAGTCCTTACAGCAAGAATCATTCCCACCCCCTCCACACACAGAGTAGACAGGGATGGGCAACTTGGACATTGGCTACCCAAAATGGGAACCTAGGTACAGAGGGCCTGGAGGAAGGTAGACTCTCCAGTGAGTACTATTCAATCTGACTAGGCGGGGCTGATGAAATGAAATGCAGACGAGTCTCTTGTTATACAATAGTGAATAATTGTTATCAGGACTGATTGTGAGGGTCGGAAATGTAAAGGTGGATGTTTTATAGCAAGGAGGGGAGTGATTAACTTTTCAGTCTAAGAGCGGAGGTCCCTAGGACCATCAAGAGAGAAGAGCAGAGAGAGGAACCCTACCCAGAGAAGCAGTGATGCCTGAAATAGAGCCAGAAATGATGACGTGGAGCGATGGAGCAGCTGGAGACTTTAGATCCAGAGAGGGAAAGCAACTGTGTGCTGAAGACCTGGGGGTTACAGGGGAAGGATTGCATGGAGGGAATTGTAACCATGGCAATGAGACGATATACGATAGAATGAATGTAAAACTAATGCTCTCCCATGTAAACTATCACATAATTCACAATAAAACATTTAAGAAAAAAAAGAAGATGAGTAGGTGAAGGAAAACCAGCTTCATGTCAGTCATTATTAATAATGAAAATATGCAGTGGGGAGGCACTGTCCATCAATTTCTAACCTATTTTTTTTTTTTTGTGCGTGTAAAAGAGTGAAGAGGACCTCTGTAACAGCATATTTTGATTTCAACTGCTCACAACATAGTGGAAAGGAAAAGAAACCCTATCTTCTTGGACCTAAGACCCTGTTCTTCTGTAACTTATTTGTTGTTATTGTTAAGTGCCATCTAGTTGGTTCCAACTCCTAATGACCCTTTATAGGGCTTACGAGGAGCAGTTGGTGGGTTTAAAACACCGAACTTTCAGTTAGCAGTCCAGTGCTTATCCTGCAGCTCCACACAGGACTCTTGTGAAATTTAATCCTAGTCCAGTAATACTTCTATCACATGCAATTTTCCTTAGTCAAGAGAATAGCAGATGGCCAAACACTACATTGTACAACATACTAACTATTGTTTCTGCTTCAGGAAACAATAGAAATACTATCCACTTTGTATATCCCAATTCTCCAAATGCTTGTCTCAAAACATCAGGGGTTACCATCATGTGCTCTTTCAATTTCTTTGTATTCCACAAACTATGCTCGTTTAGTTTTAATTACTTAATCAAACTAAATTTTTACAATTCTAGCAAAATAACATTCACATAAAAACACTTAACCATCTAAAGAATATTGATGCCAGTTATATAAAATGTCTTCTTACATTTAATTAATAGAGTTTAAAAAGAGCTCACATTATTCTGCATATGGATAACTTACTTGCTTTGTGTCAGATCAACTACAATGAGATCTTTCTCCAGAAGTACTACAACAGCATAAGGTTCTTGAAATTCTAAAAAAAAAAAAAAAAGAGAGAGAGAGAAATATTGAAAAGTTTTCATATCGTACATTTTGTACAACTATAAAATTACAGTTCTTTTTTCTCCTTCCATCCTTCCTTCAATGTATCAGGTAATGTTTTAACAAGATCTTTCTACTCATGCAGTTTACATTCTAGGCATTTATAAAAATCATGAATAACTAAACAAAATAGATCAATTCATAAGGTAATATGAGCTATGCATAAAAGAAAAGGGTCATAATTAATGGCATAGGGAATGACTTATGGTTGGACAGGGGTGCTAATTTAGTTAGAGTAGCAGAGAATCCATAAATCATAAGGGACTAACAAAAAGCCCCAGTAAAAATGATTCTCCATTTACAGAATATGGTATTTGCAAAAACATTCTATATACCTCATATTTAATTCTTAGTAACTACAGAGATAGTATCATTTTCCCGTTTTATAGAGACTGAGGCCAAATGAGTTTAGAGATTGACACAAGGTTACACAGCTAACAAAAGAAAGAGGTGAAAATTTAATCGAAGTTTTCTGTTTCTAAATTCCAACCTGTTTTTACTATACATCAGCAGTCTCTACTGGCTATTTCTGAGAAGTATATAACCATAAACTCAAAAACCACTTTGAAAGAATTCTGTTTAGAAGTCCTGAATTGGAAACTGATATAGATAATTTCACCTTCCTTCCAGTGTTGAGTAACTACAGAGCCCATGCATGTTTTATGTTTATAAGTAACTAGGGTATGAAAGAACAATTTGAGATAGTGCATGTTGTTACCTATCTATGTGGTGATATGCTATCTTCATATTGTTTATTATTGTTCTTACACTGAGGATTTTTCCCTTTTCCTTTATGTAGTGGAACAGTTTTAAGTTTTTCCACATTGTTTCCTTCTTGGTTTTGTTTTGCTTTTCAGTTTAGAGAAAAGTAGGGCTTAATTTTACTAGCTATTTCCCATTTGTCTTCTCTCCTCCTTAGGAAGATCACTGGTAGGGAAGCAAGCCATTGCTAAGAAAATAAAATAGTGTAGATATTTGCATGAATGTATAAAAGTCATAAATTGAGAACCTATTTAGATAATTATAGTTTTAGATTACTGCTGTTCATTTAAAATAGTTCAAACTGGAAGCAAAAGTTTCACCTTTGTAGAAGTATCTTATGCTTTGTGTGGTTGTTCTTGTTGTTAGGTGCCACTGAGTTGGTTCTGACTCATAGTGACCCTATGCACAACAGAATGAAACAATGCCCATTCCTTCACCACAAAAATGTTGTTATCCTTGAGCCCATTGTTGCTGCTCCTGTATCAATTCATCTGGTTGAGGGGTCGTCTTTTTAGCTGAATCTCTGCTTTACCAAGCATGATATCCTTCTCTAGGGACTGGTCCCTCCTGACAACATGTCTGGAGTTCATGAGATGAAATCTCAGCATCCTGACTTCTAAGGAACATTCTGGCTGTTCTGACTCATAGTAACCCTGAACAGGGTTTCTAAGGAGACAGATTCCAAGACAGATTTATTTGTTCTTTTGACAGTTCTGGGAACTTTTAATACTCTTCTCTAACACTGTAATTCAAATGCATCAATTGTTCCAAGGTTTTCGTTATTCATCATCCAACTTTCATATGCATATGTCGTTGTTAGGTGCCATTAAGTCCATACCAACTCATGGCAACCCTATGCATAACAGAAGAAAACACTGCCCATCCTGGGCCAACCTCACAATTGTTGCCGTGCTTGAGCCTACTGATGCTGACACTTTGCCAGTCCATCCTGTTGGCGGTCTTCCTGTTTATCTCTGACCCTCCACCTTACCAAACATGATATCCTTCTCCAGCGACTGGTCACTCCTAACAATATGTTCAAAATGTGAGAAATGAAGTTTGGCCATCCTGGCCTCCAAGGAGCACTCTGGCTGTACTTCTTCCAACACAGATCTGTTAGTTCTTTTGGCAGCCCATGGCACTTTCA